TGAATTTAAAATCCTACTGTTAACTTATAAAGCTCTAAATGGTCAAGCTCCGTCATATCTTAGAGAGCTCATAGTGCCATATTATCCCACCAGAACACTGCGCTCTGAGAACGCAGGGTTACTCGAGGTCCCTAAAGTCTCCAAAAGTAGATCAGGAGCCAGAGCCTTCAGCTATCAGGCTCCTCTGCTGTGGAATCATCTTCCTGGTGCGGTCCGGGAGGCAGACACCGTCTCCACATTTAAGACTAGACTTAAGACTTTCCTCTTTGATAAAGCTTATAGTTAGGGCTGGCTCAGGCTTGCCCTGTACCAGCCCCTAGTTAGGCTGACTTAGGCCTAGTCTGCCAGAGGACCCCCCTATTATACACCGGGCTCCTTCTCTCTCTCTCTCTCTCTCTCTCTCTCTCATTGTGTCATACGGATTACTATTAATTTATTATGCTGATCTGTTCTGTACGACATCTATTGCACGTCTGTCCGTCCTGGAAGAGGGATCCCTCCTCAGTTGCTCTTCCTGAGGTTTCTAACGTTTTTTTCCCCCGTTAAAGGATTTTTCTGGGGAGTTTTTCCTGATCAGCTGTGAGGGTCATAAGGACAGACGGATGTCGTATGTTGTAAAGCCCTGAGAGGCAAATTTTGATTTGTGATATTGGGCTTTATAAATAAAATTGAATTGAAATTGTTAAGTACGAGCGGATGTTTTTACCAAATTCCAGGAAACTCCCTCAAGGTATTCTCTAGAAATCATGTTCATGAGAATGGGACAGACAGATAGACGGACAATCTGAAAACATAAAGCCTCAGGCATCAACAATGAATTCTAATTTATTCCTTTATTATATTTTGTATCGTTAATCTGAATCTGTGAAACAACTAAATCTGTTAAATAATCATAATTGAGTAAAAAGTTTGACCCTTAAAGTTTAAAGAGACGTAAAATGGAAATATTTAAAGTAGACTAAAAGTAGAGTACCTCAAACCTGTACTTTACTTGAGTAATGTACCTAGTTTATTGTACCTGGATCTCCATGTCAGTGACGGTGAAACCGTCTTTCTCTCGGCTGTCTTTCACTGTAAGGAGGAATCTGCCGAATTGTCCCGTCTCTCCTTCTTCATCCTCCTTCTCCTCTTCCTCCTCCTCCTCCTTTTCCTCCTCCTCCTCCTTCAGCCTGCTCCTCCTCCTCCTCTCCCTCAGCTGGGGCCAGTACAGCTCACACTTCTGGAAAAGACAGACTCTTTTAGGACACGTCAAGAAAAGGAGACCCTGAGGAGGAGTCGTGTCTCCTCACCTCGTTGTTCTCCTTCAGTCTGGTTACCATGACGATGATGCTGCTCCTCTCCTGCCACACCATGTCCCAGAAGTCCCCAACAGTGTGCAGCATCGGCCCCTGGGTGGCGATGTAGGCCCTTGGAGCTCCTCTGTAACCCTGCAGCATAGAGACCAGGTTTTAGGTTTAGGTTTAGGTTTATTTATTTAGCACACATTAACATCAATGGTGCAAGGAGGGGACGAAGCCCGATGGGCTTGTACAAGAGGTCCACCCCTTTCAATAATCACAATCAATTCAGATTTATAATGCTAACAAATAAACTCTGAAAAATAAGGAGAAAATGTACAAAAATAATCAATATTAAATGGAAAAAAAGAAAAAAAAATGGAGACAAAGTACAGAATAATCATTATCAAGTGGAAGACCATGGAAACAAAATAATCATTGTAGAATCAAAAAATTATGAGACAAGATACATACTGTAAAGAACATCAATGAGGGATTGTCATCATGGAGAAAAGACACTGAATAAAGATGTGAGGCAATGGAGAGGGCAGGAAGTGACTAGATGATTCATGAAAGGATAAGATGTTTTTTAAGCTGCTTTTTAAAGAGTGAGTGGGAAGATAGGGATCTTACTGGGGGAGGTAATCTATTCCATAGCATAGGGCCTCTATAAGACATGTTAAACTGATGATGTGAGGTGCGGGTAAAGGGTAAATATAGATTATTATTATTACTGTGTCTAGTATGGTATGAATGTACATCTAATGAGAAAGTAAAGACATTTTTAAAAGTGTGAGAGAGATCTTGGTTTCTGTAAATAAACTTGTGAATGAACAAACATATCTGATAGATATTCAATTTGTGAATTGGTAAAATAGAATAATGTATAAAACATGGTGCTGATGGAGCATATCTGTTTGAATGTCAGATGAATCTTATGAACCTCTTCTGAATAATACATAATTTCTTGAGATGGTTGGGATATGAAGCTGCCCAGACCA